TTGAGAGCAGTGAGCTTGTTTGCTTATGAGTTTTGCACTTGTTATGATATGAGACATTCAGTAGAACACAGTTCAATCCCTAGGGGCCGGTTCACAAACACAGCCACAGAGCAGAGAGGCATCTAACAAACTGGTGAGGTGACTCCAAAAGGATTCGTGGTTGGTCCTAGACGTTGTACTGGACCCCAAGCATTATGGGGGAAGGAATGGGACAAAGCGACGGGAGAAGAGACCACAGGGGATGGGAGAGAAGATGACAACAGGCAAGAGGCCAACTTATTGATGTCAGGGGCTAGCTGATGGAGAAAGGAGCAGGCAGAGAAATCCCAATACCACGAGCCTGCAGAGATGTGCTGGGGTCTCCAGGAAAAGCTTAGGAACTGGATGGGAAAGATAGGAAGATGTAGAGCTGAAAACAAGGACTTTGGTTGACCCCCTCCGCATTGCATACAACCAGATGACCCTCCTGCGCCAGCTCCATGGAGAAACTAGAGGTTCCAACCAGATACAGCAGACATAGCGAAGGCAGGAGTAATTGAGTAGGTGGGTGTCCACACACCGTCTGGTGAGGAGACTGCCGGCTACGTGTGGCAGACACACAGGGAGCAGGCTGCCTGAGAGGCAACTGGAGGCAAACTCTAGCCCTTTCCTCTGCTCCTTAAGCCTTGCTGTAGAGTTCAGGTTTCCATCTTCCTAGAGGGAGAAGCAAAGGCGTCATCTCTCAGTCAAGTGTCCATATAAGTGGCTCCTACCTAGAAGTTGTTGTTAAGTGCCATTGAGTCAGTTCCAACCTGTATAGGGTTATTAAGGAGCGGCTGCTAAGCTTGAACCACTGATGTTGCGGTTCAAATGACCTTGCAGTCCAGTACATTAACCCACAGCACCACACCAGGGCTCCGCTACCTAGAAGAGAGGCCTTTTTCTGAATTGTACAAGGACACGGTTCAAATAGGCTGTTAACTGCCTTATTTATCCCCCTCTTTCCCAGGCAGATTGGTGGAAATCTCTCTAATGAAGGTGAATAAGCTCCAGCAAAAAGGCAGAATCCAGGGCCCCCAATGATGAGTCCAGATGCTCACCCGATGACTGTCCAGACACATCAGCCTTCCAATGCATTGTTCTTGAGCAGATCTACAGACGCTCAGATACCAGAGGAGCACTTCAAAGTCTGAGATTAACCAAGAGAAAGGCACTCGGAAGACACACAAGCCAAACAGGGCACAGAGAAGACTATGACTCATGTAACACCATCACCAGCAGCCACACAGAGAGGCCTGCATCCATGAAACAAGAACAGGATGCTATGAACCAGAAAGAAGACAACAAAAAGTTTTGGGAACTCAGAATTCAATAAGATATGTATCAGACACACTGGGAAGTAAAGTTGAAATATTCTCCTTGAAAGCAGATCAAAAAGCAGAGAGAGATGAGAAATAGAAAAAAGAAAAAAATACTAGAGGATCAGTGTGGGAAGTTTGGCATTAGAATGACTGGCAGCCCACCAAGGGTGTCAATTACAAGAAATTTCCAAGACACCTTATACAGGAAATATAAGGATATTCCATAGCATTGTGAAGATAAATACAAAGGGGTTTCAAAAAAGTTCCCTTGTAAAAAGATCAACTATTACAGTCTTGGTGCTGTGGGTTAATGCGCTGGACTGAAAGCTCAGTTTGAACCGCAAGGTCGGTGGTTCAGGCTCCCCAGCTGCTTCCCAGAAACCGTATAGAGGGTCACAACCGACTTGATGGCACTTAACAACAAAAACAACAGTAAGGGTTTTAAGTGCTTGTTCTTAGAGAGCAAGCCTTAGTTAGGGACAGCTAATTCTCATCAAAAGCTTTATAGAATTTCTTTGAAAAGTTTTAATCTAGGTACATGTATTACTTGGATAAAAATTATAAAAAGGAAAAGATAAATTGTAAGGAACTGGACTGTTTATCCTGTGGGTTTTTATGTTTACCACTCTATAGTCTCTTCCACATTGGCCTCTATTTAAGATCATGAGTTTCTTTTCTCCTTAAATAAAAAAATATATATCCGTTTACTGCCAGCCTGAACCAAATGACTTTTAGGCGTCTTGCCAGCCGATGGTTTTCAACAATATTACAAGTCTTAATGGTTAAGGACAGCAACCTGCAGAGAATTCTGAACAAGGCCTAAGCCCATAAAACGGAACGCTTAAATGCTGGGGTCAGCTTTTCCCTGGCGCTTCAAGCATTTCATTTAGGCAAGGACCAGGGTTATAAAATAGTACAACACATCATTTTTATTATCTCTACCTTTGAGCTTTGGAGAATGCCAAGTCGTTCATTAATTAGCTCATTTTCCACAGGACGCTTGGCCTTCAAGATGGACTCACTCCAAGCTCCTAACAATTCTGAGCTTGGAAGGGTTAGACTCTTTGGGGTGGGGATGGAGGCTATTATTGGAAAGGGTTAGAGGCCGGGTTCTGGCTGTCACCAACTGCAACGTGCTCGAAATTCTTTTGGCTGTGCTGGAATGCTGTACTTCAAACCAACCACTTAAAATAAGACGGCCTTAGTGTGCTAAGGAGACCTGGTTTCTGGCATGAGGATGATGTTGGGGGTCAGCTGACACACTGTTCAACCACCAAGGCCACTTGGTGGTTGACGGGACAACCTTGTAGAACAGGGGTCAAGAACGTGTAGCTTGCGGGCTGTACGTTGTTGTTAAGTGCTGTCAAGTCTTAGCGACCCTGCATAGGGTTTCCTAGGAGTGAATGGAGAGTTTGAACCACCGATCTTGTGGTCTAACGCTTATTCTAGTATCGTCCCAGAACTCCACATAAACCCACAAAATCATTTGGTCTGACCCCCCTCCCCCCCCAAGGCAACCACAGGTGGGACTCGAAATTCAATAAATCTTTTCATAGAAACATAAATTTCTATTAAGTGGTTATAAATATCCAAATAAAAAAAAAAGGTTCAACCCTGCCGTAGGATCTTGTAGGGGGTTAGACGTGCTCAAGGGACAAACACAAGGAAAAGCAGCTAGGGTGGGCAGTAGGCCTAAACATAAGGTTTTGTTTTTAAAAGAAGGGTATTTTTATTGAATCGTTTATTCGTTTTTTCAGGACATTCATGGGGCCCAAGGGCATTAGATGTCCGGGTGCATCTCATAATTCTGCTCTTGCTGTGTTGTGTGGTCAGGCCTCTGGCTCCAGCTAGACAAGCTGCTCCCTGACCCAAGGCCCCTGCATGTTGTCAAGAACTGCCAAGATCTGCTTTCTCAGTGGGAGGAGGAAATGATGTCACGTTACCATTGACCTGCGCCATGGCAGGAAAAGATGGAAGGAGGGGAGAAGTCACAAATGTTCTGCGCTGGTCTTTCCAGGGTGATTTCTGGGAAGTGTTTTCAAGAAACCCACAGGCAGCTATAGCCCCGAGATTCTCTGGGTGGGAGAAGCCCATGTTTCTCCTGGCTCTGATGTTATACTCCAGCTCCTTCATTCTTCAGCTCTCTGGAACCTTGGGGATGGACCGGATACTCCAAGGGCTGCCCGAAGATGGCTGAGGCACAGTAGAAGGGGTTAGATTATGAGTCCTCCCAACCCCCCACTCAAAACATGTACTGGACTCCTAACCGCCTCCATATCTTGGATTACTGTGAAGCAGAATAGACTTATACCTGAGAATGGCATCTTGTTTGGGAGCAAGGTTTCCCTGGTTATGTGACTGAACCACATCAGCCAAGGGTGGATCTTAAACCTAATCACTTCTGAGTTTCAAAAAGTTCACAGAGAAGCAAGCAAGCACAAAATGGGGTAAATAGGATGTGAAAACTGTCCAGGAACTGAGGAAGTCAGTCAAGAAGCTGAAGGATTACACGGACCTGCCTCTTCCCCGCCCTGGCCCACAGAGAGAGCGAGCCTGCCCCTAAAGCCTGTGCTCTGGATTCAAATTTATAGCTTCCGGGAACATGAGGGAGTAAGCTTCTGTCTTTAGCTACCTACACGCAGCGTTTGCTACAACAGCATTCCAAAGCTAAGACAGGGGCCCAAATCCCCCCCTTTTTGGGTGTCTTCTCTTCTGCCCCTATTACCATTTCAATTGCAAGGAGTGTCCCCTTAGTGGGAAAGGACCATCACAGCCTCACCTCCAAAACATCAAACCTACCCCACTGCCATCAAGGTGGTTCTGACCCAGTGACTCCACACACAGTACTCTGCAGAACTGTTTCCTGGCGTTTCTGAGACGGTAAATCTTTATGGGAGCAAAGAGCACCTCATGTTTTCCCTTAGAGTGGCTGGTGGGTTTGAACCTCTGACTTTGCAGTTAGAGCCCAATGCGTAATCCAGGATGCCATCAAAAATGAATTTAAAATGCACCTCCTCTTCTCAAAACAGGGAAGGAGTGTGCAACAGCGCCCAGCAAAACTTCCCAAGGCTCTTTGGATTCTGCCAGACACTGCCCCCCACTCCTACTCCTTACCACCCCCTCCACCAGCAGCTTCCTGTTACTAAAATTTCCCCAGCACGTCTCTCCACACACTCAAATTTGGCAGTTTTCTTCCCGGGGGTGGGGGTGAGGTGGTGGCTCCACCCTCTTTCTCATCCATGAGGCCAGTAATCACCTGCGAAGTCATCCTGGACTCTAAGAAACTGCACCTGGGGTGGGCTAAGACCCAGGTTTCGGCTAAGCTTTGCAACGATGCTTAATATCTAACAAAGCAAGGCCCACAAGGACAAAACTCCATCTGCAGAGACAACCTCACCCCCAAGTTTCCAAAACCCCAACACATAGAAAAGCATGCTCAGACCTTACAGAAAAATTGGAGAAAAAAAAAAAAGCTGAGGGGAGGGCACACACACACACACACACACACACACACACACACACACAAGTTGAGGGTGGGCCAAGTTTGCTCAGACGTCCTCAAGTCTGCAGAAACGCCTCCCGCCAAACGCATGGAGAAAATTGAGAAGCAACAGCCTCGCCCTGGCCAGGGTCTGGTGGTCTTTATTCTCCGGACACACATCAGAGTCTGTTGAAGTCCAGCTGTGGGATGAGCAGCAGGCAGTAGGCCAGGAGCCAGAGGAAGAGGATAAAGTAAATCGTGTCTGGTTGCTGGACCATCTCTGTCAGCGAGCCACTTGGTGGGCTGTGGCTGTCTGGCAACATGGCCTCCCCCGAGTTGTTGACCTTGCTGGAGAGGGAGAGACAGAGGGGAGCAGTTACAAGAGGGTTCCTGGTGCGTGCATTCCCCACAGGAGACCCCAGCACTGCATGTGCAGACCCCAGGCAGGGGATCTGAATGTTCACAGATACCTCCGCTTATTTCTGTTTCTCAGAGAGGCACTGTTAGCCCCATTCCTCAGATGGGTATGTTGAGACTCATGAGGGTGGAGCTACAATCTACTTTGTGAAAGAGCTGGGACCTGACGCAGGCCTAACTTTCTGTCTGGGACACCTTCCACTATGGCACAACACCCTCGGAGTGATGGCGACTGTCAACTCCGCCATTCTTTTGTCACAGAGCAAACATCACTAGGAATTGGAAAGAGCGGCCGTGTTCAACACAGCCATCAGAAACCAACATAAAAACAAAAGGGACTTCACCCACAAATCTTTGGTTTTTTTTTGGCTTTGGGTGATAACCCTTGAAAGTGTTTTTTTTTCTTTTTGGCTGGGTTTGTTTACTTTTCTTTAAATTTACACAAGGTAGTGCGAAAATGGTGTCGTGATTTTGCCTGGTAGATAATAAAGAAGCTTAAGAAGGTGCTGTGTGGTCAGAACCAGCCACATCCTCAAATATTCCACAAGGGGCAGGGGTGGGGTACATAATTTGACTGGAAGAGGGGTCAGAGGTCAGGGCTTGAAGCCGCAGTTCTAGGAGCTTCCAAGGCATGGTTTGGGGCAGTGTGATGGAGAATGTGGAAGGCTAAAACCATCCTATATCTGAACTGCTTCTTCATACAGCGAGGGCTGAAGCCCTAAAGGGACTGAACATTTACCACCGCTGCGGATTAATGCGCTGGACCGCAAAGTGAGTTTGGTTCAAACTCATCAGCCGCTCCTTGGAAACCCTATACAGAGTCATTATGGGTCAGAGCCGACTCAACAGCAGTTAACAACAAGACGTAATTCACACGTAGAATATGAGCAACAGCTGTACTTCTTTCTTTCTTTAAAAGTTCTGATTTTAGAGCCAAGTTAAACTATATTACTTTTATTGTTATTTGCTGTTGAATCTGAGTCATGGTGACCGAGAGCAGATCTGTGTCCTCCAGATTGCCAGCCCATTTTTCCCAGGTGCCTCTGGGTGGGTTCAACTGCCAGCCTTTTGAGCACTTCACCATAAACGCTTGAAGTAGAAAACGGAAAACACACTGGCATTTTCAGCCTTGCAGTTTTTCTGGGTTCAAAGATCTTAACTTTTCAAATTGAAAAGTATTATTTTCCTAGGAATCTGTCAGGGCTATTTGAAAACTTGGATGCACATTTCCATTTCATGGTAGAAGGGAAGTTTGTCTTGCTTTCGTTAAGGGGCAGAGAGGTGGTGGTTTATAACATATACTTCTGGGTGTGGGGCAAGATTCCAACAGAGGCTTCTAATTCCAATAATTTAAGGCATTCCAAGCAATTTAAGTCTATGCTGACTATTAAAAATAGAACGAAAGGAAAAATTCCATAGCTGTACCAGGGACATTTCAGAACTATCAGATTTGGGAAGGTTTTTTTCTGGTGTCCTACATTCTAAAGGAGCTCTGGTAGTGTAGCGGTTACAAATCAGGCTGCTAATCTCAGGGCCAGCAGTTGGAAACTACCAGTTGCTCCGCGGGAGAAAGATGAGGCTTTCTGCTCCCGTAAAGATTTACAACCTCGGAAACCCTGTTCAGGGTTGCTATGGGTTGGAGTTGACTCGACGGCACTTAACAAGAACACATTCTAAAACCAGAGTTCTGGTACGGTTCTGTAGGATACACGCTGGACCACTGGGTCGGTTCAGACTCACCAGCTGCTCCTAGGAACCCCTGTACAAGGTTGCTGTGAGTTGGAACTTAACAAGAACAACCTATTCTAAAAGCTGACACTTTGAGGAGGACTAAGGTGCACCTGACAGAGCTCTGGTAGCATAGTGGTTACGAATCAGGCTGCGAACTCACAAGGTCAGCAGTTTGAAACTACCAGCTGTTCCGTGGGAGGAAGATGAGGCTTTCTGCTCCCGTAAAGATTTACAGCCTCGTAAACCCTATACAGGGTCGCTATGAGTCGGAACCCACTCCACGGCACACCACCACCACTACCAAGGTGCACCTGGCTAATCCAAGCCATGGCATTTTCGACTGCTTTATAGGCATGTGAAAGCTGGACAGTGACTAAGGAAGACCCCATGAGATGGACTGTCATACTGGTTCCAAGATGGCAATGAATGTGAGGCTAGTGCAGGACTGGGCAGTACTGCTGCTCTATTGTCCATGTTGTTGTTGTTAAGTGCCGTGGAGTTGGTTCTGACTCATAGTGACCCTGAATAGAGTTTCTGAGGCTATAAATCTTTACAGGAGCAGAAAGCCTCATCTTTTTCCCGCGGAACAGCTGGTAGTTTTAAACTGCTGACCTTGAGGTTCACAGCCCGATTCGTAACCACTACGCTACCAGAGCTCCTTCTATTGTCCATACAGGTGCAATGATGACTTGGAGCCGACGTGATAGCAATTGGTATGGCACTTCAAGATACAAGTAAGCACTGGGCTGCTAACCACAATGAGAATTCATAACCCAATAGCCACTCCTTGGAAACCCAATAGAGAGTCGCTATGGGTCAGAACCGACCCCACAGCACTCATCAACAACAACAACCACCTCAATATTCATACAGGGCAGTTCTACAGTTGAGCTACATCTGACTAAGCCATCTAGTTCTTCTGCAGGTAGGGGATACTTTCACAGACATCCTGGCATGCTTGTGCTCCCTCTTCGTGTCTGCTCTGATGCCATAAAACTGTAAAATCAGCTCAGTGAGCTTCTGAGTATCAAACCTGCGGTGCGACAGAACGAAGAGTGGTCAGGTGCTACCACGGCGCAGTGCCCACACAGCACCCCCAAAACCTAAGGCTTCGGGGATCAGCTCTCGCCCTGAGAGCTCTCTCAGCCTTATTTAATTACAGGGGCCCGCCTCTACCTCTGAAATCTGTTCCAGGCCATACTGAAATACAGGTGTGGGCTCATAACCTGGACCCATCTTTAAAACAGTCATCTTCCCTGGACCGTGCCCTGAACTTCAACACTGCTTAATATATTCCCCCTCCCCAGAATACTGAACTTCCATTCAATCTCCCCAAAAGGTATTTTATTGTGTTCCCCCAAATGATCAATTGTGTTATCAACAAAGCATCGTTTGAGAATCATTTCCCCTTACAGGTAGGCTGCGTGGTCTTAAAGTACAACAACAAAAAAACAATGAAACCATGCAAAACTAGCGGAGAGCAGAGGCACCCACCTTGTTAACGTTCGGTTTCTCCTGCTGTCCAGATCTGCGGCATTCCTCAATTGAACATAGCTAAAATGATCCTACAGTGAAATTTATAAACAAAACCCCGCAACCCAATTAGTAAAGATGAAATCTCTGAAACAGAAAATAAAATGGTTTTTAAACACACAAAGCCAGGCACGTCACGCTTTTCGCAAAATTCATAAAACTGCTGAACAACAATATACGTTAAACTAGCGTGTTCCCTGACCCGCCCCCATCCGTGAATCAGCAAGACCCCCACCTCAGGGACCGGCATTAAATGTCATGTGGATCATGGTTCATCCAGGTCCCAACATTTCTAAGCTACACACTTGAAAGTGTAAAACGGACCCCTGGATTTTGTATTGGACCCCTCTATTTGGGAACACGACCTTTTGGGGCATGGGGGAGACCTGGATGTGTTTTTATAACAAAGAGGCCTGCTGGCTTTGAAATCATCACTTTATTTAGAGCCCTTAATTGCCCATACTGGATATCCGGCAGGACTGTGCTTAACAAGGTTTCAGTTTGCTTGTCTTCTCTATCCAAAAGTATAGCTGGAGCCCATCAGTAATGTCAAAGCTCTGGGCTGGGGAGGAGGAGGATTAAAACGAAATGGTTAGCAGGGACCAGAGAGAAGAATAAAGTCACATACTAACCGATTCCAAAGACCTATTAGTATGTCGTCGAATGTAAATGCTGGAATCACTGTAGCTAGTCCTGAAAAATAAACACATGTTTTGAGTGGGTGTCACCCGGAGCACCACTTCACACCCGAGCCCTGCACACGGGGACTTAGGCACAGGACGACTTCACACCCAGGTATAGAGCGTATATCTGATACATCACTTGGCTTGGCAGGTATCACAGACCCGTCAGGCCCGAATCCCACTGCTGCTGAGTCAATTCCACCCCACAGTGACCCTACAGGGTAGACCTGTTCCATAAGGTTTCCAAGACTGTAACTCTTTGCATGGTCTCATCTCTCTACTGCAGAATGGCAGATGGGTTTAAACCACTGACCTGTGGCTAGCAGCCCAATGCTTAACCCACCGTGTCACCAGGGCTCCTACACTGGGCCCTAGACTACAAGAAAGAACAGGTGTCAGGTTAGAATTTGCACTAGAAAGCAGATCAGGTATTCTTCCGAATCACAGGGTCTTGGGTAGGGAGGGACCACTGGCGCTAAGCATCCTGAGGCCTTGGTATTCACAGGAAACCCTCTGCTAAAGTCAGATCTAGACCTAGAGCTGGTAGCTGGACTCCCATTCCAGTGTTCGTTCCCATGTCCAGTGCTGAGATCTACCTGTCTATTTGGGGGCACACCACCTCTGTTCCTTTCGAACCTGAGGAGGCTAATGTTCTGACCACATACATCTTTGAGGCTGCTGTGCAATGTGCTTCTGTCCTAACAGGTGCCAAAAACACCCAGAATCCTGGGCTTTCATCTGTACATCTCCTATGGGTGCTCCCCCCGTCTGTAACTAGGACTGCCCTCCCACCTCACATGCCGTGTGCAGGTTTGATGGGAATAAGAGTACGTGGTCAACAGAGGGGGAGAAGGGGCTGTGTGCTGACAACTGGGGGGCAGGCTTGTAGTGTATATCCTTGGTTGGTTGATGATGCATGGAGGGGATTGTAACCATGGCAATGAAATGATATACGATAGGATGAATGTAACGCTAGTGTTCTCCCATGTAAACTATCTCATAATTCACAATAAAACATTCAAAAACCAAAAAGAGTATGTGGTCAGAGAAAGTGTTTGGTCTTGTTGGGAGTTCAGTGGAGAACCGAGTCCTATGTACTGAAATGCCCGGTGCTGGGAGAGTCGTCACCACAAGGCAAGTTGGCTAAGTAGCATCCTGGTGTTCTGGGAGAAGGCATCTGACCTGAGATTTCACTCTGCCCATTGCCGCTCTGTAACTTAACCGGGCTCTTGCCTGGCTTGGGAACACGTTCACTTTACTAAGTACCACCTGTGTGCCAACCACAGTGCTAGACCTATGGGGACTCTGAACCATCACCTGCTCTCTCAACGCAGGAGTGAATAAAATGCTCCCTTCAGAGTTCCTGGAGCCTTGGAGAACCGACCCAACACACTGGTACCTGGAGATTCAAGGGCAGGGTCTCCTTCCCTACACGTGTGTGTTTGCGGTGGATTTCACTCATTCATTCATTAATTCATTTGGGAGAAACATACACTTTAACAATCCCTACCTGCGCACTGACACTGGCTGCCTTCTAACCCTGCTACCTTCTGAGTTAGCATTGTCCTTTTAATCACAGAGAGACGATTCTTTAACGTTTTCAGGACCAAATTATTTTGAACTTCGAATTTGTTTTGCTGATCCCATGTTTTCAGTAATGGAAGGTATACTGAAATCCAGGGAGGAAACTTTTTTTTGAGATCACATGGATTTTGATACAATTATGTGGGGCACATATGTCCCAAGTGGACTCTGGAGGTAGGATGGGTGGGGTGAGACCCAGTTCTTCAGTCATGCAGTTACACAGGTCCCCACTAGAGGGCAGCATGCTCTACATCTGGGATAGCGGTGTCCCAAAAAGCCTGAAGCTGAAAAATGTTGGTCGGTGATATAGGTCCTAGGGTCAGGAAAGGGTTAAAAAAAAAAGTTCAAAGAGGCTTCAAAATGTTTATGGAAAAAAGGGAATACAAGAGAATGGAATTTTTCTACAAACGTTTTGAAGCCCCCTCATAGAACGATAAATGCAGGCATTCTTTTCTAGTTAGGTTTGTGAATCAATGAATGCATGTGTTCCCTCCGTTGTGGGTAGATCTGTGGAAGCGCTAACCAGCTCGTCAGCATCTACCCCAGTACCTGATGTCCCATTCATGCATGTTGCTACGAATACCGAAACACTATCTGGGGACAGCCATGGTGGAACACTGACCCCAGCTAAAGTGCCACCAGGTACCTGAACCGAGACTGTTAGGATGAGTTAGAAAAGTACCTTCCATCTGTCCATGCCAAGAGCTTACGGTACTGTATCTCTACACAAATAACACACTTGTAATATGGTGTGTTTTCAAACTGTGCAACTCCCTCACGCATTCCTTTGCTATGCATGCCACACACGTTATATGCATGTGCTTGGTATTTATGTGGGTGCATTATATGCAAAAAATACAGTCAGATCTTTGGGGTGAAAACTCAACCTGGCCTCCTGCCCACATACACCAAAATAGTGGGTTTGTTTTTCTGTATGCACCCCCTTCATCGGTCTCATAGTCACTGGGATGGCCTTGCATTTGATTCTTGATCAGCACATATCTGCATCCAAGGTGCTCAGTCTAACCCAAGGCATCTCTCATTTCTACCTCTCACTCCGCCCGTCCCACAAATACAAGGAGACTTCAGCAAGCTGGTGGGAAACAGAATCAGAAGACAAGAGAACTTTTCAACAAGCCCTTCCATACTTACTGAGGCACCTGCTTACTGCTTGTCACCGCTCACACTCTTCCTCTCACCTGGTGTGCCTTCCTTCCTGCTTCTAAACCTACACCCCATTTAACCCTCAATGCTTGGCTCATCTTAGCCTCCCTGGTCTTCTCCGTCTGCCCCTGAAGTGATGTGACAGGAACCCCCTTTGTGTTCATCTCCACTTCCTGGCAGACCAGATGGAGCACGTCCTATACCTCCCTCTAGTCTGTGAGCTCCTTGGGGTCAGAGCTGGGCCTGAGCTGTCTCATGGTTAAATTCTCTCTTCTTCCCTGGAGGCCTCACGCCTGGCCAATTCCATCACACAGTGGTTCCTCAGAGAATTTAGGGAGGAACACTCAGTGGCCCAGCAAACAACTGGCAGCCCCTCCCTGAGCCGTGGTGCCGGAATTGATAACCTAGCCCAGTTCACCAGAGGTGTCCGTCTGCCTTCACAGCAGGGTAGGACAGTACATTCGAAGTGCAGATGTCTGCTGGGCTGTCCTGCTTCTCTCTAGCCCCAGCTTCTCTGCCTTCATTTCCCCCAAGTCCAGACCTGGAAACAAAGCCTGGGGGTAGGAGGAGGGGGACAGCGCACGGAGCATCCCGTCAGCTACTTCTCTGGCTCTGTCTGAGTTTCTCTTGACAGCCCCCTAAACACCGTCTCAATTATGTTCCTTTGGAGCCAGCTTCACTAATAATGAGGAGTCATGGAGAGAATATGGCCCTGAGTGGGAGACTGGTCTGAGCCCAAGATCCCAGCTCTGCCATTCCCTCAGGGAGATGTCACAGGGTCCCTGTGCTTTGGTCTGTAATACTGAGGCAAGATCCTAGCTACCTGCCTACGGGGCTGATCCCAGAACTGATGAGGATATGGACACAGGGTGGGTTTGGTACACTGGGTGACTATCATGATGACGAGAGAATAGGGCCTTTTAACATTCAGAGTTAAATAATTTCTCTGGGACAATCCAACTCACCGGGTGGCCTTGGAGAGATAAAACAGAGGTGTGGGACAAGCTTCCTAGAGATCAGCTCAAGTTCATAGTGACATGCAGAGGTGTCGGATAAGCTTCCCATAAATCAGCTCAACTGCATACAGACATACAGAGGTGTGGGACAAGCTTCCCGGAGATCAGCTCAACCGCATAGTGACACACAGAGGTGTGGGACAAGCTTCCCATAGATCAGCTCAACCACATAGTGACACACAGAGGTAAGGGACAAGCTTCCCATAGATTAGCTCAACCACACAGAGACATACAGAGATGTGGGATAAGCTTCCCGGAGATCAGCGTAAGCTCATTATCTTCCCTGCTCCCCCCCATGACAAATCAACCATCATTAGTTCCTTAGAACCAAGCTTGTGAAGGAAGCCAAGTGAATGTCTCATGTTCCTCTAACAGGGATGAAAGCTCACCTCGCTACACATACACTTTACTCAGCATGATGTTGTGAATGGCCATGTCTGGTACCTATTTAGCCCAACCCACAGTGCTTTGGGGTCAGGGCCCAGTCTGTGGAGCTGCAAAATTGATTCCTTCTACCTGTGGCTCAGCCATTGGTTCTATTTACTGCTAGTTCCCACTCAAAAGATACACAGAATGTAGAGAGAAGGCACATTTTGCTCCTTATGAGCAAATCTGGTAATGACTGAGGTCAGGGTCGGGGAACTCAGGCATAAGAAAATGAGGATTTTTTTTTTTTAAACGTATAAATGCAGATTATCCTGGTCCAATTCCACCCCTGTGTCCCCACTGAGTTAGTAATTGAGAAATGGGTGAGCTGAATGTTACTTCATGTCTAAGGCAAGAAAATATTAATCAAATACCTGGAGGGGATTTTATGGTCAGCCATGTCTTCTTCTAGGTCATCTGAGGACCGAACCGTTCCAGGTGCTATAAATATGGAACTTTCAACATGGTCCATGTGCTTCCTTTTTTCCTTCTTTTTACTGCTGATGGGTTCTTCTGTCATGTTCTCTTCTCTAGAGTTGGCAATATTTTCTGAGTTTGTGGATTCCTGGGACTTGAAGACAAACAACCAAACACCAATCAACATTTCATGCAAGCAATAGTAACAGCTGTGTTCCACTTCGGGCCCAAGCCCAGCTAGGGTGTCCCTTCTAGTCTTCCTCTCCTCTGGGCTCTACAGCTGCCCACGGGCCAGAGGCAACATTTCAATGCTCCAAGCTGAAGAGTGCAGGCCAGTAAGATCTGGTTTCTAGTCCTGCCTAAGTTAGCTGTACAACCTTGAGCAACGGACTTGATCTCTGTAAACCTCAGTGTCCGTGGCTGGGAAATGGGTATGTGGTCATGGTTAGTTGCCAGTAAGCTGGTTCTGACTCAGGATGACACCAGATATTGCAGACTAGAACTGCACAGGGTTCTGAGAAGCTGTGCCTTCTCAGAAGCGGACTGTTAACCCTTATTTCTGGGGTGCCTATTGGTGGGTTTGAACTGCCAACCTTACAGTTAGTTATCTGGTGATTTCTCATTTTTCCCACTCAGAGCCTCCATCAAATTGGCATAGTGAGTATATCTACTTCTTCCCACTGTAAGAAGGAACTTCAAAAAGTTTGTGAAAAATTCAATCACCTTTTCATTCCATGTTCCCACAAACTTTCTGAAGCCCCCTCATACTTCAGCGGAGTCCTGGTATGGCACTGTGAGTTAAAGCGCTGGACTACAAAGTCTGTTTGAACCACAAGATTGGAGGTTCAAGCTCACCAGCCTTTCCTCGGAAAGCCTATACAGGGTCGCTATGGGCCGGAACCAATTCAGCAGCACTTAACAACGACATACTTCAGCATTTCCTAAGACGGGTATCTCTTACAGGGGCAACAACTGGAGCCGGAATGAGGACTGCATCCTGGAAGTCCAGCCAAGGGGTGCACACAGAGTGTGAGCACAAGGGGGGAGTTTTCAAGGTGCACATAGAGGCAGATGTGGACCCCGGGTGGTGGCACATCCAGTATGAATGGGCTGAAAGGCATCCAGCAGGTAGTGTGGACACCTGGGGTGGGGTGGGGTTTCTGCAGAGGAACTGTGGGAATGAGAAGCTGATGTGACCAGGCTAGGACATTGCTGGAGAACTCAGCTCTGAGCAGCATCCTGAAATGACAACCTCTACCTGCCACGGAGGATGCTACCTGTCCTGAAAGGGACTTGATTTGAGAGACAACGCTAGCTACTTCTGAGTCCCCTTGGTTGGCAAACAGATTTTTAAAAAACGTTTGACGTAAAGGGAGGTGCCCTGGTGGTGCAGCGTCTAAGCGCTAGGCTACTCGCGAAAAGGTTGGTGGTTTGAACCCATCAGGAAGAACCATGTGGCAGTCTGCTTCTATAAAGATTTTGGCCTGGAAACCCCTACAGGGCAGCCTGACTCTGTCTCTAGGGTCACTAGGAGTTGGCAGGGACTCACTGGCAATGGGTTTGGACTCCTAAAAGGAGAACTAGGAGACAGGGGTACATGCCCTGTCAGGTCTTCTGGGACAAGACTCCTCGGTGCCACACCTGTCATGTGGGGCTGCACCCTCCTGTCATTCAACCTCAATGGTTCAACTCAAGATCAGTCCCAAGTGGGCAGGGACCAGTGAGCAGATGCTGGCTGGACAGGTGAGAGGTGAGGAAGCAGGCCAGGGCCAAGTGGGCGCATCAGCTCAGTATCGCTCCCACATGTAACAGGGTTTCATCACACTAGCTCCATGTAGAGTGGGGCTCAAATCGAGAGGTCCCAATCTAGGCTCTTTCTCCATACCCCAAGTCACATGTCTGCATTGGCAGTTCTTGTCCTCTGTGTCCAGAGCTCCCAAGTTCCATGGCAGTCTCCTATGCAGTCTCCTACTGAACTTGCATCCCTGAGGTCTGATGCCAACCCCTCTCCTGGTAGCTACTGGGGACACCTTGCCAGCATCAAACACTGAAGACAGGCTGTTTGTTCTGCTGTGCAGAGTCCCTGTCTCGTACATGGTGGACAGAGCGGATGGGTGAGCTGCCCTGAGCCGGGCCCATGCCTCTCCTCTCAGGCTGCCTCAGTTGGTACCCCATCTAACTGTACCTCCCTGGGAAACGGCAAGGTTTGGGCTCCATCTCTGAGATTGTCCAGGTGAAGGTGGGCTATCTTATTAACGAGGCACCAACAGGGGGGATCCCTCTTGCCCCCTGGGGTATCGTGCAGAGACCCCCATCACCCACTCACTCTGGCAGCCCCTCTTGAACTGCTTGGGGCTCAGGTGAAATGGGAAAAGCGAGTGTGTAAGTACTAGCTGGATCTCAGAGTGTCCCTGTTCACCCTATGCACACCACTCATTTCAAACCAGGGAAGCCGGGTAATAGTGCCGGCAGGTGGAAGACCTTAATGTCAAGGTGGAGACAAAGGTGAGCGGTTCTTCAAACGCTGCCTTCTGAAGGAGATGGGGTGAGAACACACTGTGTACTCACTAAACATTAGCTATGGCTAACTTTTTACACCGATGGCTGCTATCTTTTGCTACATCCTTCTTGCATCCCTGAGAGCAGTGCTAGGGCTCCGGTGAAGCCAGCAGGCGCCTGGGGCTCAACATTTAAGGAGGCATGCACTCTCAGGGGCCAGTCCTGTACTTGCAGGATCCTGAAAGTGCATGCCTCCTTAAATGTTCCATCCTGGTATGCCTGGGGGAGGGGGGGCATGCATGTTTATCCCCCTTTTCCGAAGGACCATCAAGTGGATTCTGGCTTCTAGCTACCTCAGGGCTTCTGAGATTGTAAATCTTTCTGAGATAGCCTCTTTCTCCCAAGGAGCAGCTGGTGGTATGAACAGCTGCCATTGTGTTTAGCAGCGCAATGCTTAACCCACTACACTACCAGGGATCCTTCTACCTTCTAAAGAAGCCAGGATTCCCCCAGGAGCCGCTGGACTGCAGGACCGGCCCCATCCCAATTCTTCTCACAAACAAATACCTGATTGCTGTCCCCGGGGGTGCTTTCCTCAGGCTGAGATGGAGGATTGGGCTCGGGGGCTGGGTGGGTGTCCTCCGCGGCCCAGTCGAGATTGAGTTCCTGCTCACTGGCACTGGGAAGATCCTGTCCCATCACCCCAGAACTGCAGCTGCCCTGAGAGTCCTCGGCCTCCTCCTCCTCCCTCCCGTCTAGGTCCTGCAGACTGTTCTCGGGGTCATCGAGGTCGGCATCTTCTTCGATTTTCAAGTCCTCGGTGTCCTCTGTGTAAGCTTCCAGAACTGCAGCCAGAGGTACCTGGTAGTGTGGGTAGTAGAACAATTCGTGTGGGATGATAGACACCTTGGACAGGGGTGGGGAGGGCTTGAAGTCCAGTCCTTCCTCACTGTTACCCCGGAGGGTCTCCAGGCTGACACTGCTGCTAGGAGGGTTAGATGGCAGCTCCCCGTCGCCCCCCTGGAACTCCTCCAGGTCCCCCTCATCCTCGTCTCCAAGGCGTGTGGACTTCCGCTTGGCCTTTTCATACACCTCTGGTTTCTTAGCTGCAGGTATCTCTTCTGAGGTCAAAGAGTAGCCTTGGAAAGCGTCCCCATGAAGTCTGCTTTGGTCAGACTCAGCCCAGGGCTTGGGCGACTCTTGCTTTTTGTTGGCTGATTTGGAGCTCCGTTTGCCTGATCTTTCGTCATGGTCCTGTGGGCTGTCATTGCTGGCGGGCTTGTTTTCAGGAAGGGAAGGAGCCTCGCTAAAAGCATGGCTGGTGGAAGCAAAGTCAACCAGGTCGCTGTTGAATTTAGAGGCTTTCAACGGTATACATTCAAAATAGTCTTGGTTATCCAGAGCTTCGACTCTCAGCAGCTTAACCTTGATCTCTAAGGAATCCGCCACTACGGTGTTTTCTGTGGAGGCTAAAACTTGCTCAGTTGAACCCTCCAGGGCTCCATTGCAGGCGGAAGAACCGTGGGAAGACTGAGAGTCACTGAGCTTACCGGCAGCCAAAGAAACATCATCCTTAGTGAAAGCTGTTTCCGGGGTCTTTGGAGCTTCCTGATTTGGTTTCTTTCCCTCTTCAACCTCAACGGCCACCTTAGGGCCATCCTGCTTTGAGGCCTCTTTTGCTCCTCTTGGGCTCCCTTCAAAGGCAACACCCTGGTTATACAAAAGGCCTTTGCTGCAGGAAGCATCCTGGCCAACATCAGCCTCAAAGTGCACAGTCTTCTTGACTGGCAAAGAGTTGGTCCTGCGGTTTCTGGATGCCAAGATGGAAGTTTCTGGGGCTGGCTCACAGACGTTGTTGGCTTTGCAAGGGACCCCCTGAAGGACCTGACCGATGAGCTGATGGATCAGCTCCTGGGAGCTGTCTGGCAGCAGGCTTCCGGATGCACTATCCAGGTGGGGCTGCAGCTGGAAGCCCTTGGCGCTCTCAGCCTTGTCGCACACAAAGACTTTGGAGGGTGGGGGGTGGCTGGCCTCATGGTTAACAGTGTAGGCACGCTCCCCGTTCTCCGTCAGGAGGAAAATGGTGCTCTCCTGGTCCGAAGGGGTCTCTATGATGCGGACAAATGTTGATTCAATGGGGAATTCTTTATCGGAATCCACAAAATCTTCCTGCAAAGAAACAAGGGATGATGAGAATAATGAGTGTTTACGTCGGGCCTGTAGTCCTCGCTCAACAAACAGAAAAAGGAGTCACTTCAAAATGAATGCAAAGGGAGTAGTTAATCTTGTAGTCCAAGAACAGAGGACCCTAGGACCATCGAGGAAGAAGAGCACAAAGGGAATGTGGAATCCTATCCAGAGAAGCAGCAACACCAGAGATGGAGGGCAGAGATGATGACATGGAGAGAGGGAGCAGCTGAGGACTCTAGACTCATGGAAAGAGAAAGGCTGTGTGCAGGCAGCCAGGAGGCAGGCTTGCAGAATGTGCCCTTTAATTATTTAAATGATTATATATTCCTGAGTGTTTTTGTGTACATCAAACAAACAAACAGAAGCAAATACTGCTGAATGATGATGCATGGAGGAGATTGTAATCATTGCAATGATACGAAATACGATAGCGTGAGTGCAATACTGATGTTCTCCCATGTAAACAAAGGATGACTCAATGCAAAATAAATGCTTTTAAAAAAAAGAATGCAAAGTGTTCCAACTGAGACAGAGAGAGAGACAGCAAGCCCATTCCCCTCGCCGGTGAGTCGATTGTGACTCACGGAGACCCCACGGGACAGAGTCGAACTGTCTCATGGGGTCTCCAAGGCTGGCATCTTGATGGACGCAGACTGCCACATCTCTCCTGTGCAGTGACCGGTGGGTTCAAACTGCTGACCTTTTGATTGGCAGCCCAATGCTTAACCCACAGCACCACCAGGACTTACCAAATACATTGAAAAAAACAAAACTCACAAAACTCTTTTTTGAAGCCAAGAACCAAGGTCTAGAGCAGGGGTAGAAAACCTTTTTTTCTGCCAAAAATTATAACATCATACTTGGGCCACATACAATTCTCAACTTAAAAATTAGCCTGCTATATTTGGTCAAAGGAGCTCTGGTAGCGTAGTGGTTACGAATCGGACTGCGAACCTTAAGGTCAGCGGTTCGAAACTACCAGCCGCTCCGCGGGAGAAAGATGAGGCTTTCTACTCCCGTAAGGATTTACACCCTCGGAAACCCTGTACAGGGTCGCTATGGGTCGGAACCGACTCGACGGCACTTAACAACAACAACATATTTGGTCAAGGACTTCTGGTGTGGTACTGCTGGTTAATGCGGTAAACTGCAAAGTCGGTTTGGGCCGTAAAGGCTGGCAATTCTAACTCACCAGCTGCTCCTCGGAAACCCTGGAAAGGGTCGCTATGAGTCGGATCCCAACTCCATGGCACTTAGCAATATCAGCAACATATTTGGTCAAACGTTTAGTTAACTCACCCCTAATGTGCTGGTTGGGAGTCCTGGGGTGGTCCTGTGGGTTAATGCGTTGCATGGCAAAGTCAGTTTGAACCGAAAGGTTGGTGATTCAAGCTCATCAGCTGCTCCTCGGAAACTATTCAGGGTTGCTATGAGTCGGAACCAACTAGATGGCACTTACCAACAACAATAGTGTGATGGCTCGAACTGCGGTTACCTTGGCAGGGCCAGACCAAATGATTTTGTGGGCCTTATACAACCCTGGAGTCCTGGTGTGGTGCCATCAGATAAGCACTTGACCAAAATGTCAGTTCAAGCTGCAAGGTTGGCGGTTCAAACTTACCAGCTGCTCCTTGGAAGCCCTATACAGGGTTGCTATGAGTTGGGACCAACTCCATGGCCCACAACCATCATCACTTACGCTGTTGTTGTTAAGTGCCGTCAAGTTAATTCCAACTCACAGTGACCCTGTGTAGGGTTTCCAAGGAATAGCTGGTGGGTTTGAACTGCTGACGTTGTAGTTCCAAGTCCAGTGCTGATCCTACAGCGCCACACCAGTATCCAAGTTGTAATGCGCTATTTTCTTTATTAGTAAGCCCAGAGCCCTCCTCCACCTAGTTTATTGCTGAGTCCTCTGAAGCAGTTATGTTGTTAAGTCAGTTCTGACCCATAGCGACCCCGTATAGGATTTCTGAGGAGTGGCTAGTGAGTTTGAACTGCCAACCTTGCAATTCAAACTGACCTTGTAGTCCAGCGCATTAACCCACAGTGCTATGTGTTCAGTAAATTACTGGTAAATTCACCTGATGGCTTGTTACTATCATTTTTGTCACTCTTGTCAGCATCCCAGGGTGGCACATGGGTTGGGTGGCAATGAAGCCACGCCCACTTCTAAAAGGTCGGCTGCTGTTCTCCCTCAAAAAACCTGCCACCAGATATTGTCTACAGAGCTCTGGTAGCGTAGTGGTTATGCATCAGGCTGCGAACCTGAAGGTCAGCAGTTCGAAACTACCAGCCATTCTGCGGGAGAAAGATGAGGCTTTCTGCTCCCATAAAGATTTACATCCTCAGAAACCCTGTACAGGGTTGCTGAGTTGGAAGCAACTCCATGGTACTTAACAACAACAACAAGATATTATCTGGGATGCTGAAAGTGAAAATGGTGGACTGTCATTATCTTTCCTAATTTCTGGGATTCTGATAAAATCTGATGGACTGCCAAAACGTTCGAACATCTGGAAATCCAGTCCATATATGAGTGAGCCTCTGGGATGGGAGAAAGTTTGCAAGAGGCGTCACCTTCTGACTCCCCTCTGCCTTGTCAGTGCGATACCGCACGTCAGGTGTTGATTCTGAAAGAGCAACATGACAAGGTGGTTTCCAAGAGACCCAGGATCAACTTTTGATGCTTGGGGCTCATTGCATGCAACACCACCCTGTCCAAGCCCCTGTTTCCCTGGAGGCTGAGCTAATGGGCACAGGCAGTTTCTGAGCGAAAGAGAAAGAAAACAAACGTACGGTTTCCAACTCCGGAAAACGCTCCAGGAACTGCGCCACATACGTTACAATGGATTGCTCATCTGGCACGTCCACCATGATGTCTGTGGAGAGACACAAGGGTGAGCAAGACGCTGTTTAAACATGGTCTCAGGAACCTTGATGGGGAAGGACCTTTTTCTCACTGGGTCTTTTTCTTTAAAAAAAAAAAAAAAAAGGCGATTCTGGCCCATCGGGTTTCCATATCTATCTCCTGTGAGTAGCTGGTGGGTTTGAACTTCCAAACTTCCAGTTAGCAGCCCTATGCTTAACCCACAACACCACCAGGAGTTCTGTATTAGCATGACCCACACAGAACAATAAAGTTGACATAGCTAAGGATCTTAAAGTGTGTGGTCTCCGGCTCTGTTCCTTCATGGATGGGATGCACACTGAGCTTCATCCAACAAGAAGTTCACTGTGGTGTTATTTATCTATCACAGTAACTCTTACTGAAACAACCTCAGAGCCCACCAGTGGAGGAGCTAAGGAAATTACGGTATATGCCCACTAGGTGGACTATTGTACAGCCAATAAAAATACACAGTGAAGACACCGGACTCCAGGATCAGCACTGGATTGCGAACCACAAGGTCGGCAGTTCAAACCCACCAGCTGCTCTTTGGAAACTCTACACAGGGTCACTGAGTTGGAACCAACTCGATGGCACTAAGCAACATGGATGACATTATGCTGTTGTTGGTGCTGTGTGCCCGTCCAGTCGGTTCCGACTCACAGCGACCTTGCCTGTATAGTGTTTCCAAGGCTGTCAGTCTTTACGGGAGCAGAAAGCCTCATCTTTCTACTGAGGAGTGGCTGGTGGATTTGAACTGCTGACCTTATAGTCAGCAGCCTAATACATAGTCCACTATACCACGAGAGCTCCTTGAAGACATTACAGAGCAACATATAAAACTCTGTAGGTCTCACTGTCAGGTTAAAGGGGAGAAAAAGATGCAAAATTCTACACACACAGAATGAAGGATCCTAGCTATTCAAAAATATTATAATTACAGGCACAAGAAAATACGGTAAAAATACAAATGACCCAAGTGGCAGGAATATAGGAGATATAAACAGTTTTCTGTTAGATTTTTCTGTATTTTCCAAATTTCTACATGTGTTGTATGTGTAATAATAACTAAAGAGAGAGAGAGAGAGCCACTAGTACCTTCTGGCTCCAGGAGCCTGGGAATGTTAAGGGCATCATGTGCGATGCTAAAAGCCTTCTCCAGATTGTCTCTTGTAGAATCTTCCAGGGCCTGCTTCATATCTACCAGACTGGGGTCAATGGCCTTTATTACAGCCAGGAAAGCCAGCCCACTTCTCCAGCTGCCCGCAAAGTCCTGTACCGCCACGCCATACCTAAAAGAAAAGAGCGTAGACAGCAACAAAGCACGTCCGCACACAAACCTGAGGGCACAATGGCTAAGCACTCAGCTGCTAAAGGGAAGTCTGGTGGTTCGAACCCACCTAGCAGCTCCTCAGAGAAAGGCCTGGTGAACTCCTGTAGAGACGACAGTGTAGAAAAACTTATGGGACAGTTCTACTCTGTCACATGGAGTTGTCTGAGTCCCAAACTGTACACGCCAGCTACAAACAAACTCAGAAGTAGGGTGTACACGCCAGCTACAAACAAACTCAAAAGTGGGGTGTACACACCAGCTACAAACAAACTTAGAAGTGGGTGGGGAGTGGTTTGGAGCTGCTGACCACTATGACTAATCCATCTTGGAGCCCAAGCACCAGGAGAGAGCTGCACCAAACCCCTCAAACCAAGCCCAAGGCCATGCAGTCAATTCTGACAGGGTAGAACTGCTCTGTAGTGTTTCCAAGGTTATGAATCTTCACAGAAGCACACAGACTGGTCTCATTCCCAAGGAGCATCTGGTAGGTTTGAACCACTGACTTTGCAGTCATGAGTGCAGTGCTTAACCTACTTTTAATACCATTCCTGGAAAGGAAGTTGTTGTTGTTGTTAAGTGCTGTCGAGTCAGTTCTGACTCATGTATAAGGGTTGTTAAGGGCTGTCCAGTCAGTTAGGCCTCTGTATAGGATTTCTGAGGAGCGACTGGTGGGTCTGAACTGCCGACCTTGTGTTTCACAGTCCAGTGCTAATCCTACAGCGCCGTAGCAGAAGAAGGGGAAGGTAAAGGTCACAAGAAGAGGCCATGTGGGACCTTGGGTTTCCAGACTCCCAAGTAGACAAAGCCATCCTATAAGAGCACACTTGTTTCATCAGTGTACTCAGAACCTTGCAAAGGGGGTGACAGCTGTTGTTAAGTGCTGTCGAGTCGATTCCGACCCATAGTGACCCTGTATAGGGTTCTGACCCATAGTGACCCTGTATAGGGTTTCCAAGGAGCAGCTGGTGAGCTCGAACCACCGACCTTGCCGTTCAAATGATCCCTGCAGTCTGACGCATTAGCCCACAGCGCCACACCAGGACTCCGAAGAAGGAGGTACTGGACCATCAAACTGGGGCCAAAGACCCGAGCTCATCCGCCACGCAGCTCCACGTTTCCAGCGCTGTGGCCATGGGTGAGCTACGTTCTCGGAGCCTCCGAGTTCTCGCTGCCACGGAGGATCCTTGGGGCTTCTGGGGGTTGTCTCGGGTGAACCCACAATATGGGCAATATTGCATGTATTTTTAGCACACATGCTGATGGGTAATGTCAGACCGGCATCTCTACATGCAAGGTGTCAGCACGGGACAGGCACGGGGAGCCGCTAGGGTCTGCATAAGTCTCAGTAAAATTGATGTGAAGAAGTGAGGATAAAGACGGACCCTCCTCCTGCTAGGTACCCACCTCCCCCCTCCAGCGCCCATCCCCAGAGGCCCACGAAACTCTCCCTTGGGGTCACTGGACTCTCTTAGAAAAAAAGGCCTTTACATTTCAAAATCCTTTAAGACTCACAAGAAGCGGCACAGATAGTGCAGAGGGTCCCTGTGAGACGTCCCCTTCCCCTAGACCCCTGATGCCAATACATTACGTAACCAGAGTGGTTGTACCCAAGCAGAAGCTGGACCACAGATAATACTACACCTCTTTTACAACATTCAATTTCTTAGAAAGGGGCCCTGGGGGCACAGTGGGTTAAGCATCATGTTGTTTACCACAAGTCCGCGGTTCAAACCCACCTACTGCTCCGAGAGAGAATGACGACAGTACGTGCTCCAGTAAGGGGACAGTTCTACTCTGTCCTACAGGGACACCATGAGTCGGGGCCAACTCCAAGGCAGTGGGTTTTAGTTTGGAGCCCTGGTGGCACACCGGGGAAAACTGTCTGCTGCAGGAGAGATTGTTGTGGTGGTTGTGATGTGCCGTGGAGTCAGTTCCGACTCATAGCGACTCTGCACAGGGTTTCCGAGGCTGTAAATCTTTACAGGAGCAGAAAGCCTC